AGGGTACATGTGAATCTTTCTAAATGTAGAACATAAATGTCTTAACACAATAACTAAGAAAATGCCATGAAGGCTATGTTAACCAGATTGATGAAAATATTTCAAATTGCATATAAAAGCAGCACACTGTACCCCATGACTGCATTAATGTACACAGCTATGATTTAATAAAAAAATAAAAATAAAGATATATACATATAATATAAAATCATACATATGTATATCTGTGAATGTGTGCAGTGTGTGTACACACACACAATTCAAACAAGAGAATGATTTCCCTATATCAAAGGGTTCAGTAAGGATCATATAACACGAGTTCATTAAAACCCCACCCTAAGCTATCTAACCCTAAAGTAGAAGAACTTAAATGGGAAGAGAAGGTTTCTTCTTTTATCATAGTAACAAGACAACCAGCCTCAAGGAAGAAATCTCAAGACCCGGCTGGAGCACAGCGTTCTTCAAGCCACAGCTGTGTCAGCGTGGTTTAGGCTGCAGGAGGACGTGTGAGTCTGAGCTCTCAGATGGTGCCAGTAAACACTTCCTGAAACCCCTTTCTCAGCTTGAATTAGGAGCCAACCAAACACATCCACACGGGCACAGAAAAGTGGCCTGAGGTGAGGAGGCCTCAGACCCACACTTCAAGTGGCAAGGGGACTGGTCTCCAGTCCACGGCTGCTCTGATTTCCGTGGTTCAGTTCAGTATAGAACTTCTGCAGGAAAACTTCACGGGGATTTGCATTCTCAGCACTGACACATGGTGGAGGTGAGTAAATGTTTGTTAAATCGACAAATACACGCTCTCCTTACACAGAACAGGAGCAGTTATTGTGGACTAAGAACACTATAAATAAAGTCGTTTTAAATGAATCATGGGTATGATTTGACAACAAGGTGCTCATTCACGTCTCTGGCCATACCGTAGTCACAGCTGCGACTTGCTCCAGGGCCATCTCGTGCAGATGCTGGTCTGGGCTCTCCAGGAGAAGCTTCAGGGCGGGCAGCAGGAGGGACCGGGCCAGCAGCAGCAGGCTCAGCTCCTTCACAGCCTGAAACCGCAGGGCACAGTGAATGAGAGCTGGAGGCGCCCCACTCCCCACCGTGCTGTCCTAGCGGGGTCCTCCCACCCCTTTTCCAGGAATATGGGAGAGTGTGTGTGCATGTGTGTATGTATGTACAGCACACGACACCACACTGAATACAGGGTTTGCACCCACAGTGCAGGCTGCACATCTCTCCAAGCTGGCATTCATCCACAGCGCTGCGTCCGGGCTCTGCGGTACTCACTGTGTAGGTACCGCACACGTTACTTAACACGATTCTGCTTTCCCAAACTCCCAGAGCCCTGTTTCTTCACAAGTGAAATACGCATATTCATATCCCCCCCCCGTTTTTGTTTTTCGTGTGAATTGGTGTTGCTGGACTGGACGCACAGCGTCAGCACTGAGTGGGGGCTTTATGATAATAGGAACTTATTACTATCCATCAATGTTGCTATAACGTCTAGTGTCATCCATGGAAACAAATGAAAATGGCAAATAAAGTGTTTCAAAACCCGCTTATGATCTTGATGGCAGGGTGAACTGAACCCTTGATATGCTTAAGACAGTCCATTTCCATGAAAACTATCTGCGGTGCAGAAAAATGAAACGTGTTTGGATCCTCACAGGTGTATCTGAATTCTCTCCTCCGCCCTTTCTCATACTGACTGAACCTGTCCTCAGACACAGGTTTCTATATGAGGTACTAGATGGTAATCCTTTACCACAGTGCTTCTCAACCTTCCTAATAATGTGGCCCTTTAATACAGTTCCTGTGGGTCATGACCCACAGTTTGAGAATTGCTACATTACAACAAAAGCATCAAAGAATAAAAAATAGATTTGCAAGCCATTTTGCCCTGCTGAGCTGTGCTCCTACTTGGACCCAGAACCAAACAGTGAGTGCAACCCTGTCACACCAAAGCAAGGGTTGTTTTGAAGGAAGAATTGAGGAACACTGGCTTTTGTGGGCTGGTCATTCTCTTGTGCTACTCAGACAGTAGATCAGAAAAGAAAAACTCAAGCTTACTATCCTCCCGAAGTTCCTTTACACTATTATAAAGCATGTATAAAACATGATGACACAAAGAACCTCTCGTTTAAAGCTTAGGATAAAGTTCTCTTTGGAATTCTGCTCCTTAGCCAGCAAGGCCCTGAGTTTCAGTGTGGGAAGCTGCGCTGCATACACTTTGGGGACAAGAATGACACCAGTCGGGGCAGTTTGTGAGATGCAGGCTCCAAGCACTAGAGAAGTGCGGTGTGGCCCAGAGCACACACGGCACCCAGAGCAGTCTCACTAAGCATCTGGGCCAAGACAAACTCGGATTTTTCATCTGGGATGCCAAGACCTGCAGAAATATCTGGGTGGATAAAACAAACTCCCGAGTGTGACACTCGGCCCAGCTGACTACATCCTGATGTGCTTCCTGGGCCCTCCTCCTCCTGCTCCTGGCAGGCCACAGCGGCCGCCCTCACCTGCACATCCACAGAGAGCTGTGCTGGGGCCCTTTCCACCACCAGGGAAGCATTCTCCATCGGAGCTGTCCTCACCCACAAGCTGTGAGCCATAATTGGGGTGGGGCTAGATCAAATGAGGAGGTGCGTTTTTAATTTTACTTAAGTTGTCGTTTTAAGATCCACGTGGCCAGTGGTCACTGTACTGGGTGCTGCAGCTGCTGGTGCTGTCCTGTCTCACACCTACAGCTCTTTGTTCTTGTGGTAATCCCTACTGTTGCTCTCTGACAAACACCTACTTTCTCTTTAAGTCTCAGCTTAAAGTGGCATAAAAAACCCACACTCCCTCTGTGAAGGCACTTCTGATGCCACGTTAGCACTCTATGTTCTAACTGCACTCTGTAAGTCTCTCCTACGTTACCTTTCATCTCGTATTTCTGTAATTGTTTTCATTTGTGTTTATTTTAGACACAAGGTCTCACCTTGTCACCCAGTCCACAGTGCAGTGGCGCGATCACAGTTCACTATAGCCTTAAACTATATTTGCCTATTTTTGATCTATATTTGGTCTATTTGCCTCACTTGATGGCAAGAAAACTGTTCCTTCTCTGTATTCCAAACTTGCTTGGCACACGCTATACCTAAAATAACTTGTCTATGATTCCCTTCTTTTTCTTTTTGAGACAGAGCCTCAAGCTGTCCCCCTGGGTAGAGTGCCGTGGCATCACAACTCACAGCACCCTCCAACTCCTGGGCTCAATGAGTGAGTCTCCTGCCTCAGCCTCCCAAGTAGCTGGGACCACAGGCACCTGCCACAATGCCCGGCTATTTTTTAGTTGCAGCCATCATTGTTGTTTGGTGGGCCCAGGCTGGATTCGAACCCGCCACCTTGGGTGTATATGGTTGGAGCCTTAGCCACTTGAGCCACAGGTACCAAGCCATGATTCCCTTTCTTAACACACATCTGCTTACGCAATAAGCTATCAGGAATGAGTGAACAAGTACGACTCTGTGATTTATGACTAAGCTTAAGACTTGGCTGCCCTTAGCTTTCATGACAAATTCTGTGAAATAATCTGTATACCCCTCTGAACAAGCACAATGGATAGATGCTGCTTCCAGGCCAGGACACTGCAGAGTGGAGGAACTCACTTTATGGGACTACTCAGCATTCTTCTGCTTAGCTAACAGTTACTGCCAAATACTCTGTCTTTAGATGCTAAATCCTGTACTATGTTTGGTAGGTGGTTTTCCCCTGTATTGCAAGAGCAACATTTATTAGGAGATTTACAAGGGGATTTTGGAAATTCCAAGAAAGGTCAAAGCAATATAACCCCCCCCCCCAAAAAAAAGACCTCATTCGACACACCTTCACGGTTCAAACCTGTCCGGCCATTAGGACCCAGAATATGAGTGAAGAGGAGTAGGCAGGCCTTGGCTCCAGCCAGGCCACAACCCCGGGTGTTTGTTCTCCCTATGGACTGTGATTCATAGAAATGCACTGGGTCATCAGAGAGACAGGGCCAGGCCACCAACACTCCTGTCCTCACATGACCCTTCTGCTGGCCCTTGGGCATCTAGCATCAGAAAGCGTTGGGAGGGCCTGCAGCAGGAGGAAAGGGCACAGGTAGGCAGGAGCTGGTCATGCAGGGTCCCTTGCAGTCCTCACCCTGACAGGCCCAGAACAGGCTGAGCTCCAGGACGCCCTGAAGGCCCAGGTCAGCCAGCATCTCTGTCAGCTGGGCCTTCACACTGGCCATTAGGCACTGCACCTGGGACAGCTGGGTGTAGCAGCAGCCTGGGGTTCATGTTCTCCAGGGCCTCTCAGGTTGCGCTGGGCCTGGAGCTTGAGTTCTAGGCATTGACTGTGCCCTGGGTCTATGATCACCTGGCATCTCCCTCCCAGCTGAACACCACATGCTTGTACTCTATATTATGTTTTAATATATGCCATCTCATTAAATTCCTCCTCAAATTCTTTGAGAACGGTGCTCTCTTAGTCCCACTAGGCAGATGACGAAAGCAGAGGCAGAAGGTGAATGAAATAAGTTGTGTGTTCTCTGAGTCTAAAAATCGAGCTGCCTGCATTATCAAAAGCAGCTCAGCCGCAGGGGGGAAGGGCATGTGGAGATGCGGCAGCTGGGGCGATGAGGCCCCGTGAGGCTGGGCCTCCTCACATGGCGTCCCCACACCTGTGATGCTACTTCACGCTGTGCCTCAGCGGAGTCAAGACCTTACAGGTCAGTCACAAATGGCTAGAATCTGTGGTTTAAAGTTATAAATGCCAAGTAGGGATTTTATGCCAATTTCTTAATCTCTATGTCCTCCAATCTCAAGAATGTTTCATCTATTGCCATGGATACAAGCTGAGAAGGATCCATAACTTTCAAGATTGTGGGGGGAGAGGACCTCTGAGAAAAAGTGATCCATCTGCTGGAAATACCTTTCACCAAGAACCACCTAGGCCAGAAGTAAGCAAGTGCCATGAGCAATAGTGGGCAGGCACAGAAAGGCTTTCTCCACAGTCCTGAAGAAAATAAAGCTCTTTTAACTACGAAAGCCTGGTGGGAAATGGAGATGAATAAAAAGTGCCCTGTCATAAACAATTAGGCATATATGTTTCATAAACCATGCGGTGGGGCAACCAAAGGTTTTAGATTAAAAACAAATAAATTTTAGATAATTTTACTACCACAGTAATATAAAATATTATGGATCTCTAAAATTAAACTTTCAATTTCTATATGTGGTTAAAAAAAAAACTTGAGACGTTTCAACTTTGTAATAATAATGTTTCTTCCTCTGTAACACTTTTAATTCACATCTGAGCATTTCTAGCCATCAATAAATACAGAATGTGGTACATACCATTTGCAAACCTCTAATCACAGGATCCAAAGGAAAAAACAATCTGTAATCATGCCCGATTAAGAGACAAAAGGAAAATGAAGAAAAGTCACTGTGACAATGGAACTCCTGGAATCGTCTATCAAATTGGAACAGAGATGTGGTAACAATCTACTGTGAAGTGGGGTTTAATCTAGTACCTCTCCCCTCACGCCAAGAGAAGTGTGGCTTGATCAAAGGTAGGGAATTGAGTCTGTGGATGAGGAAGGACACAGCCTCAACTCACTTTCCTTACAGCTGGAAACCCTGCCGAACAGACAGAACAAGGGTCCTCTCTGAGACTGTCCAGGTTAACCACTTATTTAACAGAGGCCAAGTTCCAGGGAGTTTGGTGATATTTTCATGGTTAAAGACCATGGCCCAGTTCACATAGACATATGGCCCATCTGGAACAGGAACAGTACAACTTCAAGCGTTACTTGGGTCCTCACATATGATGATTCTTGGCCTTAAGGTGCTCCCAGTCCTCACAGACAGGAGAGGGATAAATCCCACTTCCACTGTGTGATGTGCTCTGATAGGTTCGTGCTTTAGATGCTGTGCCGTCAGGCAAATGGCCATAAAGGAATCTTTCAAGTGGTAAAGGTTAAAGGAGACAGTGGAAACTGAAGTCCAAGAGTGCTTGCAAATGTGAGTCATGACCATCAGCACCAGCTGGCTAAACAAAGTCTTCCTAACTTAGATTCAACAGAACTAACAGTAGGACACTTCTGCTGCTGGGTATGGATCCAACAGTGTTTGATCTTGGGTTATATCAAGGCAAAGGTGAAACCCATGTTACCTACCCTGACGGGGATAATAAACTGTGTTGAGTCCCCTCTCTGTGCAGTAACTGAATCCTGCCAGGTGACACAGAGGTGACAGCCATGGTACCCACCCCCAGGGTGCTCACAACCAGGCAGCCAGCGTAAGAAGACATGGTACACGGCCCAAACCATACTCCACTGGAGTAAGGGGAGGTTATTTTTGGTGTTGGTACTTTAAAATATTTTATGGAATAATTCTGTCATTCTGGTGGTTAAAAGACTTCTTTAAATGGATAAATTATTTTAAAATTCAATCAAAAAACACTTATCCAGTCCCTCATTCAGAAAATAATTCATTAAATGTGCATTTATAATAAGAATATTTTCCTTGAGTGATTACAATGAGGATTGAAAGGATCATATTTAAATTTTATTTTCAAGTTTATCTCCTATGTGGTAGAAACTCAAAACCAATTAATCAACTTAATGCCATTATCCAACTGCTTAAATTTAAGACATGTAAATTGCTCAAACAATACATTGCTGAGGTGGGACCCACAGCAGGGGTTATAATTACTCTGTGCTTATTTTAGAATGCATTCTCTCTCTATGTGTGTGTGTATATATACACACGATAGATACATATCTGTACCTATCTATCTACATATATATGTTATATATATATATGTACAAATCATGGGATTAAATAGAGAACAAAGGTCAAAATGGATGTGGCTGAGTGTTCACTACAGTTTGCAGAGAATAAATAACGTGGTTTTGCAATCTCATTACAATAAGGTCAAGAAGTATGTAAACTCAGAGAGGGTGGTTACCTGCCGAGAGGAGGGTGAAAGCTTGCCATCCCTTCACCGACTGGCCTGCTCACACAGTTAGCCTATGTGCCACCATGGCCATGGTGGACACAAACTTGACATGGAGGGAAGGGGCATCCGGAAGAAACTGAAATTGGCTACGCACTGGGACTCATACAAGGAACCCTGCCTCAGAGATCCAGGGACAAAAGTCCCTCCAAACACCCTTTCACATCCCTTTTCTTCATCTGATGTGTCCGAAACGAAGGCCTTTCCTAGTAACGACTTCAGCTAAGTGTCCCCAAGCACAGTCACGGGGATTGCTGATAATGAGGAGGTCCCCCGGGAAAGCCACGTGAAATACCCACTCACCTCTGCAGGCAGCATCTGCTCCGTGTTATACAAAGAGCGGCAGATTTTCAAGACTTCATTCCCCGATCTTTCCTTGTTCTCCACCGTACACTCGGTTAGCATGGCTGTAGCAAGTCTCACCCATGGATTACTGGTTATGCTGGTTCTAATGGAGAAAAAAGAAAGCCACTGCAAAGGACAAAGCTATCAAAATTGTGGCGAAAAATTCAAAACAGGAAAGGAAACCCCACTTTATGCAGTAAAATGCTTATGGGAAACTACGATGGGAATCTAGATGATGGCTCCTTTGAGTCAATCGTGTAGAAAAGAAAAGAGAGCATCTGAAGGAGGAAGAGCCACTCACTGTGGGGTCAGCAGGTGCCCCACGGCACCCAGGTGAGTGGAGCTGAAAGGGCACAGGCCTGAAGCCAGAAGAGACCTGGCAAATTCTGGCTCCTCGATGTGCTGCTTGAGTTCTGGGGAAGCCGCTGTCACACACTGTTTCCTTGTTTCCCTTCCTCCCTTCCTTCCTCCCCTCCTTCCCTTTTATTTCTTTCTGTGTTGGTTATTTTGGAAGTGCTGAAGTCACACATTGGATTGAGAGTCCTCAGACATACTTGGAATGAGAGTCCTCAGACATACTTCTGAGAACCCGTTTTAAGGTATCCCATCACAGTCCCCAGAGGAGGACAGCTCTGTTGGAAGTGCTGAAGTCACACATTGGATTGAGAGTCCTCAGACAACCCGTTTTAAGGTATCCCATCACAGTCCCCAGAGGAGGACAGCTCTGACTTATGCTATTGTGTTCTCGTAGGCAGAGGAGACATGAATGGCAAGAGGGGTGAACTGACTGGGAAATGCTTTCTTCTGAGTCCAAGGATTTAATAAAGTAGTTTTATAAAACATAGGTTAGCAATTTATAAATTCCATTTCATATGGGACTGCAAAAGTATGAACTTTAAGATCTTTTTGGTCTATAAATGCTCTAAATGTTTTAAATACAGCAAGTGTTGTAATTGAAGCTGATTTTTGTTTTGTGGGTAAATAAATGATCTCTCTTTTTTTTTTTTTTGAGACAGACTCTCACTCTGTCACTCTGGGTAGAGTGCTCTGGCGTCATAGCTCACAGCAACCGCTAACTTTTGGGCTCATAGGATCGTCTTGCCTCAGCTTCCTGAGTAGCTAGGGCTATAAGCACCTGCTGCCATGTCCAGTTAGTTTTTCTATTTTTAGTAGAGACAGGGTCTTGTTCTTGCTCAGGCTGGTCTTGAACTCCTGAGCTCAAGGGATCTTCCTGCGTTGGCCTCCCAAAGTGCTAGGATTACAGGCATGAGCCACCATGCCAGGCTAAGTGAATGATCTAAATGGTCAGTGTTCTAAATGTAAAAGCACCTGTAAAACCAAGTTAATCTAGTAGAGGTATCAGACCTCTGATTTGGAAAGGAGGGTATGAAGAAATCTACAGTTCAACTCTAACGATTTCCTAAGAAAGCAAAGCATTACTGACAATCTAGTGGGCTCCACACCTATTTCATTTTAGCCTCGCCTGGGAGTTTAGAAGCAGATTCCCAGGTCTCAGTACAGAGTTGGACTCAACAAGTTCAGTAAGGGACCCAGAACCCTCCTTTTAACATACTGCTGACTGACTGGTCATCAGTTACTGCATTTCTTAGTAAAACTGCTGGTCAGTGATTCCACGGCACTCTATCCAAGGTGACAGAGTGAGACTCTGTCTCCAAAAAAATAAAATAAAAAAAAACAAACCTGCCAGTCAACAGTATGTTAAGTTGTTAGAAGTGCTCCGTGATTCTATACTATGAGCAGCTGAGAGATGAGGAGGGAACAAAGAATAAAATAGGCTGAACTGGGGACGACTGGGGATTCAGACTGGGAGAAATGAATCAGGGAGCAGCTGCTACGTTAACATGTTATTGTCTGGCGGTTTTACATAGAAACTACCCATGTTACTGGAACTCGTCACCAGCCATCTGTGTGTTAACCTGTTAACCGCAGGTCCAGGCAGCTGCAGGAACCAAGTGCAAGTGGCTGTCACAAGCAAGACTGAGGGTTTATGATGCAAAGTCCCACGCTGTAGGGGGGACTGTAGCGTTTCCAACAGCAGAGGTTGAGAAGCTATTCTTAAAAACTATCAGTCAGCATGGCCATCTCTGCCACAAAAGACAGACATTTAAGAGACATTTTGTTTTCTTTTTGAAAACGCTTTCTTAAAAAAACAACACAAAACAAAAACACCATTCTCTTTCCTTTGCTTCAGAAATTCCTAACAGTCTCATCCTAAGATTAGGGAAGGGTCATTTCCAGATGTTCTTTACAGTCCTAAACCGCTGACAGAATACAGTAATTTTCAGAAAAACGTCCTTCTTTAACCTGTGACAGGGGGAAAGAGATGTGCACTGGCCTGGGGCGGAGTCTCGCTGCTGAGTGTGGGAACAACACGATCAGTCCAAGAGCAAACAGGTACTGGGAGCGAAAGCGCTGGTGCTCAGGTTGTCTGCCAATGAGGAGCTGCCGGGCAGGAGAGCCGCGCATGGGCTCAGAGGAAACCTGGCCCTTCTTCCGAAAGAAAAAGTAAGTTATGCGGCTGATAGTACAAGGATTAGGTAAGGACCCCATGCAGCTGTGAGTGGCAGCTGTAAGCTCAGCATGACATCAAGGAAAAACAGAGTGAAGGTGGCCAGGAGCTGGTTGAAATTCTTCTCTTTCACTTCTGTGCTGGGTGATGCCTGAAGTTATCTAACTTCTGAGCCTCAATTTTGTCTTCCATCTATAAAATTAGATAACATCACCTTCCCCTGTAGGTGTATCGTGTGAATGACCGCTAATATATGTAAATTGCACATAATGCTGTGTGTTCTCAATAAGTGGGAATTATTCATTTGTTCCATATGAATTTTCAAGTTAGCACTGTAAGCAGTGTTAAGACAGTCAAGAAGTTTCCTAGTGAAAGTACCGAGACAAAACGTTTTGTTCACATTGTGTAAATCACATGTTATTATGAAGTATTGTCTGACACGTCAGAATGAAATATTTGGGTCTGGGGCAAAGAGAAATGGAAAGACGCTAGCAATATTCCAAAAAGAATTACAATTTCCTCTAAAGGAAAAAAATTGGTTATAAACACACACACACACACACACACACACAAAATCATTCCTTCACTGGTTCTTTTGAAGGTGCAATCTTGTTAAATTCCAAACACAGAAACTCTGATTAGGCTGATTTCATGTTAACACTCACACATGTTCGCTCTTCATTGGAGGCCAAGCTTGCAGGAGCAAAATCAAGTGCTGAAACTCAACCTCCTGGTGACTGGATTCCAGCAGCTCCAGGAACAGACAGTGGCGGTTCTCTTCATTCTCAACGTCAGCTATTTCTACCTGGAAGTAGAAATACACACTTGAAGGTGGGGGCACAGGATATTGCATTGGTTCATAGAAGAATCCAAGTTTGATTGTTTTAATTAAACTCTTGAAAATTTTTTTATAATATGCTAAGGGAAGATTCAACAACATAATAAAAAGCTTCAAAAACTCTATGCCTTACTCAACTTCAAGTAATTATATTAAAAACTGTTTTGAACTATAAAATCACAGGAAAGTTTTAATTTTATACACTGAAATAAATTCAAACAAGTAGACTTCCATCAAACTGGATCACTGGCATGTAACACATGTTAAGACACTAACTTGCTTTATTTGAAATTGTAATGTTTCAACAGATTCAACATTAGGTGACTTTTAAAAGTTTATATTATCCAAAATGCATTTGTAATTTTCATTAACAAACTACTCAGGCTTCTTGTTGTTTAGAAAATTTCTCTAACGTGAAATTAAAGATTTTATTAAAGTACATTGGTCACATGATTCTTTTGCTATAAATCAAAATCAAGTAAAATATCCTTTATTTACATTTCTGTGTCTACAGCAAAAAGAAGTCTCTGCCAAATACAGACCACTCATTTTTTTTCCTCCCACTGAATAGCTAAATAATTTTCTTTTACATTGAGGCAGTCCTACAACAAATAAAATTGCTCTAATGCCTCTGTGGACGAAAACAATTACTATTTGAAGCCAAAATCTGGCTCTCCCATTTTCTACTTTCCCTTAACAATTTGGATACACAAACATTCATTCAGATGATGATACCTTGAAAGGATGACTATGAATGGTTGTCTGTATATATGCTAAATTATCTGCACTAATGCACCTTCCAAAGCATTTAACTGAATGGTCATTCTGGCTTTGGTCCCAAGAAGCCATCTGAAAAAGTCACGCATGAATTTATAAATGTTGATATATACTACATGATTATTGGTAATTGCTGTGGGAGGCCCTTCTCAATGACCACCAGATCTTCTAAGTCCTGCGGTAAAGCCCTCTGTCTCTCCTGTGTGGAATAATAACCCCGACCCATCTCTTAGTGTTTGAAATAATTTCATCGTCTGCTAAGTCAGTTGGCCCCTTCCCTCAGGTTTGTGCGGAGGGCAGCACAGGTATTGGCAACCTCACTTTAAAGAAGAGCAGGCAGGCTTCCCTACCCTGGCAAGGCGGCCAGCAGGGGACAGAGTCCAGACAGAATCAGATCAGCACGTGCCACAACTAGAGGACGCAACATGCTGAATAAACTTTTAATTTTTAAGTCTGTCTTCTGACTGGGAGTTTGGCTATATTGCCTTGCCTCTTCATAAAGAAATGAGTATATTTTTGTGTTTTGTTGTTTGTTTGTATCTCAAACTCAAAGACATCTATCAGTTAAGATCTGATTTCGTTCAACATGTCTTCATACCTTCATTCAACGCGTCTCCAGCCTCAAGGCCTCCGAGGCTCCCTACACGATCCAGACCTGCGTACAGGATCCAGACCCTCAGGAACCGCGAGTCGTTCCCTCAGCCAGGCCCATTTCCTCCAGATTCCCGAGTGCTCCTTCTTTCATTCCCTCCACGTTTGTCACATGTCACCTTATCAGGGAAGGCCCTGCTTAACTGCCTCAACTAAGGGAGGATCCCTCCATACTTACGCTTCCTACCCTGTTTCACTTCCTTCTCAGCACTTACAACTGCATGACAGAGTATATATTTATCTGTTATCTTTCTTCTTCCTCAGAACGTAAGCCTCTTGAAAGCACAGACTATTTTTTGGTCTTGCTATCAAGCAGATGAGCAGTGAGTGAGCGAATGAATAAACCAATGGATGGGCACACACATGAATGAATGGATAAAGATAATTTGTCACATATGAAGTAATTTAGCACAAATGATACTAACTACTCATGGACTTGCTGTCACTTTCTGGCTGGTTTTGCTATTAGAAATAAATATAAGATTTAAAAAGAAAATATTGCCAAGAGGGAAATTACTAACCCCCCCCAAAGACAAGTACCCCAACTTATCATGACAAGTTTACTGATATTACATCTGCACAAATAAGGCCTTGTGATAGCTCTGATTTCAGTAAAGTCCTTCTCTTTTTCCTCATCTAACAAATGGGCTTTAAACCCCATAAATACATCAATGTACAAAGTTATGATTTAATAAAAAATAATTTTAAAAAATTAAAAATGGGCTTCAAAAATGCCTAAAGTCTCAGAAGTTCTGAGGAAGTGCCTTGAAGTCTGCAGCTGGGGAAGGGCTGATCTTTCCTACCTGCATTATAACCTTAGGTTCTATATAAAGCTTATTTATAGAAAAAGTTCGTGTTTTAAAAAACATTTAAAATACATTTAATGCTATGTCTGTAACGTTCCTAGCAGTGTTAGCACTCTAATTTTTATAAATAAATGGAGTATAATTAATAACAAGCAGTTTCCTCCTTTACATGAAATGTAGATTCTACATAGATTATTTTCTATATGCGATGCATCCCAGGAAAAGAGATGATTAACCAAAAAAACATTAATATATAGATTTAATTCTTTTAGAAAAAATTAGAAATTAATAGCTTACAAATTTTGAAGACATGAATTATATCATGAGAGAAGTAAAGGAAAAAGAAACTATAAATTCAACTTTCATACGTTTATATTCTTATTAGCATGTAAATAAATTTCCATGTATAAAATGTGTTTGATAATAAATTTCTTTGTGTAACACATTTTTTACACGTATACATCCTTTTTAAGAGTGTGCCTTTGTCAGGAAATATTTTCTTCTGAATGTTCCCTAAACATTTCAATTTTTAATAACTTATTTTTCAGCACCTTGACCTGCTCATATTTAAAATATAAATGGAAAAAACATAGTAACTTACATAATTACCTATTTTATGGGTATGCACAGTTGCACATTCCCTCATATCAAAAAGGATTTCAAGTTAAGTTACTCAGCTCCTAACAAAGCAGTTTTAAATTCGCTACCATTGTAGCTGTAAGTTTCACCTTACGTGAGAGAAGAAAATGGGTCTAAAAATTGTCTTGAGTACATTAATTTTCTGAAGGATGATAAAGAATACACATGGTTGAATAATCATTATATACTTTGAAGTACAAGTGCTTATTTAAGATTTGTGTCCATGTATTAAATTATCCTTAAAATGAATGTTAAAATTATCTTCTTCATCTTGTCATTTTAAGGGTTTTTTTGCAGTAAATTCTGGTAATCAAAATTAATGAATATGTAAAAAGAAGAAAAAAAGATTAGACAACTATATGTAAAGGGCTCCTAGACTGGGTAAGACAGCTTACCCATTTTTCCTTGCCCCTCTCTGCTAAGCACATATATAAACCATGGAAATAATAAAAAAGAAAATGAAACAAAAACTCTGAATGGGGGGAAAAAAGAAGGTAAATAAGTTTGGAACTCTAGGCATGAAGGAGCAACATGGTAGCAGAATGCCTTTTGTCTCCTACTCCCAAAAGAAGTCCACCCAGACTTAGTATTTCCCAACTCCTGATACAGAAACAGAAGAGAACTCAAGCTCAGGGAGGCTCACTTTTCATCAGAATCCCAGAGGAAAAGGAGAAAGGGTGAAGCTGAAATATATTTTAGTAAATAGTATCTAAAAACCTCCCAAATGTGATGGCAGATACAAACCTACAGGTCCAAGAAGCTAAGTTAACCTACATAGGATAAACTGAAAGAAATTCATGCTCATTATGATTAAATTTGAACACTAGTGACAGTAGAGACAATTCTGAAAGCAGACTGAATGACCTATAGGGAACACATGGTGGATTTCTTCTCTGAAATTTGGAAACCAGAAGGAAGTGGACAATGTTTCTCAAGTGATGAAAGAAAAGAACTCTTAACTATAAATTCTATATCTTGCAAAACTACGTTTCAGAAAGAAAGAGGATATACAAAACAAAAACATTCTTAGAAGGAAAATTAAAATAATCTGTCATTAACATTACCATTCAACTTGTGAGAATTCAGGAAGACAAAGCCTGATAGAGTAGACAGATACTCCACAACTTACTGTGTCCTATAAACATATATGTAACATATCATAAGTTAAAATTGCATTTAATATACCAATAAATCTATCAAAAGTCAAAAAATCATAATCCTGAATGGCTTCTAAATTCTGGACCTCACTTGTTTCAACTTTGGTTCTAAACATCTTCCCTAATCTACTCCCTATAATAGTATTCCTCCTGTAACTATGTTTCTAACCTCTGACTTGTCCATTTGCCTACTCTGACCTGTTCTGACATTCAGGAATTAATGTGTTTCTTTGGGTGACCACAAATCTTTGACTGCAATGGTTGAGTCAGAACTCTCTCAAGCATCCTTCTCAGTTCAACTCAGTAACTAATAAAGAAGTCAAATGTTTTCCATATTCCCTTCTAGTTTTGCTTGAGTTTGCCAATTATTTTACTGTATATATCTGTATACATATAGATATGATTCAAAGGGAAGGATACTTTTCTTTTTCTTTCTTTCTTTTCTTTTTTGAGAGAGTCTCACTACATTGCCCTCGCTAGAGTACCGTGGCATCACAGCTTACAGCAACCTCCAACTCTTAGGCTTAAGCAATTCTCTTGCCTCAGCTTCCTGAGTACCTGGAATTACTGCTATGTTTTTTGCAGTTGTTGTTTTAGCTGGCCTCAGCTGGGTTCAAACCCGCCACCTTCAGTGCATGTGGCTGGCGCTGTAATCACTGTGCTACGGGTGCCAAGCCAGAAGGGTATTTTCCAAGAGAAGTAGATTACAAACATGAGTTTAGACAAACCAGACCAGTTGCCTTCAAATATTGTGAGACATATAAAAAGTAGACAATTTTATTCTCTTCATTTAGATGGCCACATAAAATCGCAAGAAGAAAATCGCTTATTTACCCTACAAGCATAGTAACTTAGATATTTAAGAAAAGACCTTAACTCTGTAGTAAATATTTGGCAAATGAGGCAGGGCATGGTGGTTCATGCCTTTAATACTAGC